CTGCTGTGGCTCACAATTAGGGCTTTTATTATCTCAACTTTCAAAATGTCATATTCTTTTTCTACTGTAAGAATAAATAAATGCTCTTTGTTATAGATTTATATTGTTGACATGCAGTTTCCATGTTCAGTGAGCGTAATTGACTTGGGTTCATGGGGCTGTTAAGTACTAGGCTGCGGAAAGATACCAAATTTAAGTAGCATTGAGTGCAATGGGAGGGAAGGGCTGCATGCAGGTCAGCTTTCTGGGAAGGGAGATGCTCTTAAGTCTCTCATTAAATAGAATTGTCTGTAGGACTTGGCTTTGGGCAGGGTTTAAAATTCCAGTCTGTAGCAGGACGTAGGAAGGGGCTGGCTAGAGAATTAGGAGTCTGTTGTTGCTGAGCACTTCTGCTGGCCCCAGTCTTTGCTGCTTTAAGTCCATTTGTTGTTGGTAGGAAGCATTCTGTCTGTTTTCTGTGGTTTGGTATCTCTGTGTTACTAGGGCTCATCCTGGCACAGATGTGCTCACAGCTGAGCTTTAGCAGGGTGCAGAGCTGTATGTTCTGTTGTGCTGAGGTTCTGTGGTAGGCGGCATCTGTAGTTGGTGCCTGTTGAAGGAGAACCAGCTTCCTGCTAGCAATTTCTAAGTCTGTGCTGTGACCTAGAACAGGGGTAGGACTGGGCTTAAAACATTTGAGGTGTTTTAATGTTGTTCCAGGAACACCTAGAAAAGAGGTTCTGGCAAACATGTGGTTCTTCTGGCTAGTTGTGGTACTGGCAGTTAAAGGGAAGCTCTTCATAAAATGACTTGGTTTTGATATGATGCAGTTGGCAAGAGTGAAATGTTTGCTGCTTGTTGCCACAATGGAGAGTTCTTACATGGATTTTCCTTTCTTTTTGAACAGCGAATGGACCTGGGAGAATGCACAAAGATCCATGACTTGGCCCTGCGAGCAGACTATGAGATAGCAAGCAAAGAGAGAGACCTGTTTTTTGAGCTGGATGTGAGTATGGAGAAGTCTTAGTTACTTTTGTGGAATCTGCCTCTTGAAGTACCTGGGCTGAGCAGTAGAACCCAGTGGTTGTTTCAGCTTGTTGTGTTACTTGATGTGTTACCAGTGCAGAACATGCAGCCCCTGCCTGAATGTCAACCTGATTGCTGATTTGGAGCTGTAGGAGTAATTGTGGCCCTGCCACCCCAGCAGCCCAGCTGGCTGGGAGGCTCTTCTGGCATTCCTTGCATCCCACACCTGCTGCTCTGTACCAGGTCATTGTAACCTGGTGCCCTGTCCCAGAAGGAGATTTAGCATTAAAAGCCTTCTGCTCAGTGGTTTCACTTTTGGCAGCTTGAGCTTTCTGTGATGGAATAGATCAAGGGGAAGAACAATTCTGTCTTCCCTTTACATGTTATTCCAATGCTTTTGTCTTTGTACCTGTTGTTCCTGCCTTGGAAGTTGCAGTGCAAAGCAGTGCTCATGTGAGCATCCTGTGATGTGTCAGAGTAAAGGAACTGGGTCATATTCCAGGCAGGTGACAAACCCAAGGGTGTAGGGGTCAAATATTACTTGTTCTGCAAAGTGCCATTTGGGTTTTTTTCCCTCAAAGTATCTGTTCTTGAGGTTGGTTGTGCATGACACAGAGATTGCACCCTGTTGGCTGTCACATCTACATCTGGCTTGGAGAGCATGTTTATCCATAATTCCTTGTCTGACCATGCAGGCAATGGATCACCTGGAATCCTTCATAGCAGAGTGTGACAGGAGAACAGAGCTGGCCAAGAAACGCCTGGCAGAGACACAGGAGGAGATCAGTGCTGAAGTGTCTGCAAAGGTATTGTCCTCTCATTAATCACTGGCTCTGAAAGTCTGTGCAGGAGCACTGGTGCTCTGTTGTTTCAGGGCATTTGTGGATTCCAGCTGTCCTGCTGCTCTGGCCCTTCTGGTGAGACATTTACTGGGCCAGAGGACCATAGCAGCCTAAAACATGGGCTCTAAAATAGGTTGCTTTGGCATGGAAATAAAACACACTCACACTATTCAATGTTACCATAATAATTTAGAATAGTAAATCCACCTCATGATTGTTGTTTCCTTTAACAAATGCTCATGGAGTTTCCCCTTTTGGGAACTTGCTGCATTGGGCCAATACAAGACATTTCTGAAGCTGTTTTTGTGGACTCTGTCCTGTAAGCCAGAAATGACTGGCAGAACTGATGTCCTGTCCCCATCCAGTTCCTCTCTTTGCCAGGTGTCTGTGACTGCACTGTGCTTGGCCCACCAATCCTTTTGTCATCTTCCATCAACTGGTTTTGTTAAACAGTGTTTTTTAAAGAAAAAGGAGAAATTGTCCTGCGAGCTTTATCACGCTTTTGTCTTACTAAAATCTAACCATTCTTTTTAGGCAGAGAAAGTACATGAGCTGAATGAAGACATTGGAAAACTCCTAGCTAAAGCTGAACAACTGGGAGCTGAAGGAAATGTTGATGAGTCTCAGAAGATCCTGATGGAAGTGGAGAAAGTCCGAGCAAAAAAGAAAGAGGCAGAGGTGTGTGGTGGGTTCTGCTGTGACCTGTAACAGGGCTCTGGGCTGGGCTGAGCACAGGCAAACACCTGGGTGGGTCCTACCTCTGTTCTGTGTTATCACATCTCCTTTCCTAGTTTCAGCCACCTGCCAGCAAGCAGTTGGTGAATGAAAAGCCTTTTAGAAACTTACCTAGTGCAGAGAGCTGACTGGGTCAGGGAGGGCTTTGTCCTGTGAAATATTTGATCCCTGGTCACTGCAGGGACAGACTGTCGGGTTAGCTGTGCTCACACAGTGTCTGTGTGGCACCTCCTTTGTGTGAGGGTGGGTTTGATTCTTGAAAGCAATTCTTTGCAGAGGTTTCCCTGGAGGTTCCCTGACATTTGTGTGGGTTTTCTTGCCTGCCTTTAGGAAGAATACCGAAATTCAATGCCTGCATCCAGCTTCCAGCAGCAGAAGCTGCGTGTGTGTGAAGTCTGCTCAGCATATCTGGGTCTCCATGACAACGACCGGCGTCTTGCTGACCACTTTGGAGGCAAATTACACTTGGGTTTCATTCAGATTCGTGAGAAACTGGATCAACTGAGGGTAATCCTCTCTGTTTTAAACCTTCTCCTTGTAGTTTCAAAGAAACTGAACACTTCGATTAAATTACTACAGAATTCTTGTGCTTGTAAAAGCTCAGAAATTTCCAACTGCAGAATCCCTGAAACATCAAATGGAGCTTTGTCTATCTGTGTCTTGGGTTCTGTTCTGCCTTTTCTGGGTAACTGAATATGTATCCTCAGAATTAGTCAAACCAGACCACTGCTGTTGTTTAGTCCTTGAAGTCTGTCATTGCTCTGACTGAAATTTATCCTTCTGGGTTTTTGACTCTGAGAGACCCCTTAAGGAAATGTTTGAACTGAAGTTTCACATGGTGCTGGCAGTGAAAAAGGTCTTGAGTAGCTGAAGCCATTAGGAGTTTTTTGAACTGGTTTGTAATGGGTTTTGTGGTACTGGCCTTGCTTGCAAACAGAGACCTTTATCCTGCTGGAGCAGGAGCTGTGATCCCTGTGCCTCACTCAGCAGTGTGTTGAGGTCAGTGCCTCCACGGATGCCTGGTACAAGGGCACTGCTCACTGTCAGCTGTGTGCACTCATGGTGACAGTTCCTTGCCTCAAAGCTCAGGCACCTGTCTCAGAGCACAAGCACTCAAAGCAGAGTAGGCACTGGCATGTGAGTGAAGTTGTGAGGAAAAGGAGAACCTTGAGAGAGGTCTTGATAGAAAATCAAGTGCAGTGAAACAGGTCTTTGTCTTGCTGCTGGAGTGGTCTCCCTGCATATCTCTGACCTGATCCTGTATGGCTGAAATATGATGTGGATATTTATTTTCTAGAAAACAGTGGCAGAAAAGCAAGAGAAGAGGAACCAGGACCGTTTGAGACGGAGAGAGGAGAGGGAACGAGAGGAGAGAATGGGCAGACGGTAAGTGGAACCTGAGGACTGGCTTGTGAGGTTGGTTTTGAAGTGGCCTGATTTCTTGTACCTAAGCCCTGCAGGAATACAGCATCTGGAGTAGCTGTTGGATGTGCTCTGGATGCTGTGTGAGCACTTGGAATTCAGTTAAAGATGAAAACACATGCACAAACCCCTCAACTTGGAGCAATTGTATGTGTATTGCATACAATACACCCCACTGTGTTTCTGAAACATGGGAGCTCCCTGGAGTCTTCAGGCTTACACTGGTCTAGTCCCTGTCTTTGGGAATCTGTATCTGGATAAAATACCCTAATCTAGTGCATCTGTGTGAGAAAGTGTAAAATGAGTGAGGACTAGGTCTGCTCATAAAGCACTAGTCATGCAGAAATTCCATGGACAGCCCTCCTCACTTCTAGGCTTGGAGGTGACAGTAGGATGGAGCTGGTATCCATGAGTCAAAAGGTGGGCTGCCTGTTTTGCTCCAAAACTTTTCTACCATAACAGTGAGGTGCTTTTGGCACTGTTTTGGAAAACATTTCCTGGGGCATCTGAGGGATCCCAAGGAGTGGCTGCTTGTGGTGGTTGTGGCCGTATGTATCACCTTCTGCTCAGATGTGTGTAATTCCTGAGCAGTGGGAGTGGCTGGAATGTTGGTATTCTCAGGACAAGCTCTTCTGCATCTTGCCAGCTGAACTGGAAAAACAATTTCTTCTGTACTTGAACTGAAGAGGCACCTTGTGTGTAAACAGTTGAGCTAAACAGCCTGCTGTGGGGAAGGTGGTTATTTGCAGGGATCAAGCAGAGGAAGTGGCTGGGTAGGAATGCTGTTCTCATTGTCACAGCATTGCCCCAGTTACCTTGCACGTTTCTCCTCTTGTATTTCTTGCATCAGAAAACCCAACCTTGCTGCTTGTGGAGAGCTCTTTTTTGACCCTCAGTCAGCAGCAGTGTGTGTTGGTCTGAGGCATATGAGATGTGTACCTGCAGTGGTGCTGATTTCTGGCTGTGCATTGCTGGAAGTGCTGACAAATAAATACCAGAAGGAAGCAGCTTGGTGATTTTTGATGTCTTGTGAAGATGTAAGCTCCAAGTCGCTGTGCATTCTTCAGTCAGGGCGTTTCATGTGGGTTTTTTCTCTGAGGGTTGCCT